CTCTCTCTCTCTCTCTCTCTCTCTCTCTCTCTCTCTCTCTCTCTCTCAGCCTTCTCTTTCATATCTCCCTTCTACAGGCCTATCTTTATTTATTGATTTTTTTTTAAAACATTGTCACTTCTCTACGTACTTGAGACCTTCTTCCCAGTGAGTCTCAAAGAACCATGGGATATGTAGTTCAGACTCGTCTTCCCAGAAACACATCTCCTTGATTCTAAAGCATTATGGGAATATCAATCTCGGAAGAGGCTCCTTTCACAACAAAGAGAAGTCTACCCCCTCCCCTTCCTGCCTCTCTCTCTCTCTCTCTCTCTCTCTCTCTCTCCCTACTCCACCCCAATACCCTGGAAAAGATTCGAGTTTCTCTTTTTAAAAAAGCACAAAAACACAAAGGAAGAATAGGAGGTGTGGCCCCAAGCCTAGCTCCTATGACCCCACAAGCATATTTAAGTCTTCCTTCCCATCACAGCTAGTGACCTAGACAGATGACAGGCAGACACACTCCCACATCCCACACCCCACACCCACACCCTCCTTACATCACCCACAGCTGGGCATCTCAGGGTTTTGTGGACTGAGCTTTCATCTTTCACCAACCTAAACAGCTGTTCAACCCGTGTGCCTTTCGTCTTAGGGAGCCCCACCCTCTTGCAGGTGTCCGTTTCCCCTTGGAATGGGGGAAACAGGAGCAGTCATAGACCCAAGGGGGGCCCCCCTAGTTTGGGCTGGTTTTTGTTTGCTCAGAATCTGGAATAACCTGTAACTTGTGCATTTTTTCCCCAAGGGAAACAAAGATCTGTGTTTCAACCCCTAAGAGTTCAAGTCTGGGGTATGAGGGTGGTAGACTGCACGAGGTCCTGGCTGGGGCTAGAAAAGGCGGGGAGGTGGGGTGGTGGCTGTCTAGCCTTCTTCCCCCTTTCTGGGCCCCCTAACCTGCCCCAGCTCTGCTACAGACTTGTTTCCTGTCTCTGGGCCTCAGTGGAAGAAGGGGATTGGTCTTCATGAGTGCTAAAACTGCTTCCAGCTTCTAACAGTCTAAGATCTAGGTGGTTTTTATTTTCTTTTCTACCTGAGATCTCTGCCTCTGTAGCTTAATACACAAGGATCTCTCCCATTACAGGACAAACTCTGCACTGACTTCAGGCCTGCAGTTTCATACTCTCATCCCTGATCTTCACTTCACCACCTTTCCCTCCCCCAATCCCTGCTCCAATCAACACAGACACAGACAAAATTCTGGTTTTAGCTTTCCCTCCTGTTTAGGGCAACCTCTAGTGTGTACATGTATATATGTCTACACATACGGACACATGGATCTCATATATAAGTATCTGTGTCCTTTTATGCAGGTGTGTGTACACCAGTGTCCCATGGGCTCCTCTCTCTTCTTTATTCAATATATTCTACAAAATTCCTTCTGCCACTTCTCTGCTCTTTGGGGAACTTAGACTCAGGCTGACCTGGCCTGGGAGGATTGAATTTCCTATTATAGGTTTCTTGATGGGAGGAGTAACTTGATTTCTTTCCTTTGGCCAGCTCTTAGGAAGGGGAAGGATTCGCCTTAGCCCTCAGGAGTATCACTCAACTCAAATCAGATCTCAATGTGGGACACTTGGATGGGAGGGAAGAAAGGATTTATCCAAAAAGCCAATAGGGGAGTGGGGGCTAGATGGCCTAGGAGTGGGTTTGAGGGGTAGTGTAATTTTTTTCCTACACTAGAAAAAAAGCAGGTTTTGCAAGCTCAGAGGCATTAAATAAGAGCAGCTACAATTTAAAGCCTGTGAGGGTAGCAACCAAATCCAAGGAAAATACTGCCCCCACCCACAACTCCCAAAGTGCCAATTTCTCCTTTGGACAGAAAGTCCATGCAGGGAGTAGAGCCACATTCCAAAGAGTGATTTGAGCCTACAACAACAGAATTAGAGAGGTTAAGGTCCCACTACATGCTGCCCAGGTCAGTCTGCATCTGGAGTTGTGTGTTCAGTTCTGAGGGCCACATTTTAGGAAGGACATTGATTGATTTGGAACTGGAAAGTACCTTAGAGGTTATCCATTTCAATTCTCTTCTTTACAGATAAGGAAACTGAGGCTCAGAGGTTAAATAATTTTCCCAAGGTCACCGAGATAACATGTGGCAGAGTGAGGACCACTGTTTCTACTATACCATGCTGTCTCCCCTGGTGGTAAGGATGATGAGTATGTGGGAGAGCCCGTCAGATGAAGAAGTCAGGACACTGTGGGAAAAGGAGGCATGGCATGATAACTGTCTTCAAGCACCTAATGCTCTCTCCTCAAATTAACTTGTATTATACTTATCTATTTAAGTTCTAGTTTTCCCCTCCCACCCCACTCCCATAGAATGTAAACTCTCTGGGGGCAGAGACTATTTTATCTTTGTCTTTAAAAGTGTTACAGATGTCTTTTGTTTTTGCATCTGAGTAATTTTGAATATACATGCACTCCTTCCTCCCCCTCCCCAGAGTGAGCCTTCCCTCACAATAAAGAAAAACAGCTCATCAAAACAGCATATGTATCATTCCATACCTTATCTCTCCAAAGAAAGGATGGTGGAATATTTCCTTATTTCATCTCCTGGCTAGGATTGGCCATTATAATTAAAGCAGCCTCTGTTTTAGTTTGCTTTTTATTTATATTATTATAATCCATGTGTAGACTTTTACCCTGGTTCTGCTTATGTCACGCTGGATCAGTTCATACAAATCATCACATATTCCTCTAAATTCCTTATATGCTCCTTTCTTAAAGCTGCAGCCACACTGAAAAGCTTCTAGAGATTTATGGTGTAGTTCTCTGCATGAGGGGACACAAACACATAGTATTGGAATTTTTCTCCACATTACCTACAGGATTCCTGTCTCTCTGGTGTTTGGGCTCCATCTATCTAGAGCGCAGTCTAGTCTCACACCACCCATTTCTCAGTGCCCCCAAACTTTGTGCTGCTACCAGATTTCATCTCCTCATGACCCAAATTTCATGCATCCAGGATAGAAGACTCCCTTCCCCTAAGAAGCTCTCTCATTACTCCCTGGAAGCTTGCAGGAGGGGCTACACAGCACAATATTTCTGTGCTTTGCACAGAGCAGGCACTAAATAATGCTTTTCAAACTGAACTGACTTGGAATATGAGAAAGACCGTCATGTGAAAGAAAGATGATGGAAAAAGGATTGGGCTGTTCTTCTTGGTCCCAGAGGGGAGAATTAGGCTTAATGGGTGGAAGTTGCTTAGAATCAGATTTTTGCTCCATATAAGCAAAGATTTCCTAACAATTAGAACCATTCTAAAGTGGAATAGACTGCCTCAGGAGGTAGTCAGCTCTCTGTTACTGGAGGTCTCTAAGCAGAGGATAGATGTCTGCTTATCAGGCATATTATAGAAAGGATTCATGGTTCAGCTGTAGGTTGGAATAGATGACTTCTGAGATTTTTTCCAGATCTAAATGTTTATGATATAACAAGGTGCTCAGAGAAGGCTGGAAAATCTGCCCCAGTGGCTGGCCCAGACAGAGTGTAAAGGTGAGGGGGAAACTAGCAAGGGACAGAACTGTGAGATTTCCTTGGAGGGCACAGGAACTTATCCTCTGAACCATGCTGGGGGTTGCATGGCAGCCAAAAGTGCAGCACCAGTGAAGCTGAGAGGGTAGTTATTGGAGGGTAAAGTTGGGGAAAAGTGAAAGCTTGTCAGAGAGATGAGGAAGGAGAAGAGGGGCCCCAGTTAGAGGTCAATCACTCATCAGTCAACAGTCCCTACTATGCACAAAGCTCTGTGCTAGGCACTGGAGGTAATGGAGTCTCTGCCCTCATGGAGCTTTCAGTCTAATGGGGGATAGGACACAGACACAGATAACTATCATACACAATATTACATAATAAACATATTAGAGCAGGGGTGGGGGATCCGTGGCCTTGAGGTCACATGTGGCCAGGTCGAGGGTTCTCCATTCCTGCATTAGAGAGATGAGCAACAAAAGTGAGGAAGTGAAGGTTCTTATTGATCAAGGAAGGTTTAGCTAATTTGGTCCCTTCTGTAAAATATTTCTTGAGTACCTGGAACACCTCCTTTTATATATGAGACCCCAGAGAAACTATCCTAGTTTCAAAGCACTTTATGGGATCCAGTTCACTCAAAAACATAGCTAATGAGCCCCCATAGATGTATTCATTTTTTATTAGTCAGCCAGAGGATATAATTAGTTGCAAAACAAAGGCATTAAATAAAATAGCAAAGTAGCACTAGAACTCCTCTCATACCTGGGGCATTGTCTTAATGTAGTTTGAGAGAGGTTCAGAATTTCAGGGTACAGTTGAAGGAGAGGGCAGTGCACCACAGGACAGAATACAACACAAGCCGGGAGCTAGAAGAGAGTAAAGCAAGAGAGCTTTATTGAAGGGAAATACTCACAGTACAAGGGGGCAGTCAGGGAGGATGGAACTAGGTCAGGTCAGCTGGGGCCCCTAGTGCAATAGGGGATCCAAACTGGTGAAGGCCAGTGGGTTTTTAATGGGGCTCTTCAATGGGTCAGTCAAGCAGGATTCAACACTGGTGAGATGGAGCAGGGACTGCTTAGATTGGGTGTGTAGGTCAAGGTTTGGGGACTGATACTAGGGGGGAAACACCTGGGGAATTATCAGGCTAGTTGACAGTAATACTTCTTGATGGTAGGAAAAGGGACTTTAGGCTATTTTGGCTACAGTATTGGGAAGGATAATCAGGTCCTTACAGCAACACTCCTTCAAATATTCCATCAGTAAAAAACAAAAAACAAAAAACAAAAAACAAATATTCCATCAGTGGGAAGAGTAGACATGTTCAGATTTTACATAGAGGGCTATATATTGGGTGTGTGGTCAGGACACATGAGTAGAGAGGCAACTAGGTGGTACAGTGTGTGGATAGAGTCCAAGACTTGGAATCATATCTGGCCTCAGACACTTCCTAGCTGTGTGATCTTAGGCAAGTCACTTAACCCATTTGCCTCAGATTCCTCATCTGTAAAATAGGGGTAATAAGAGCATCTATGTCCTAGAGTTGTTGTGAGCACTCAGCTCTTGGCAGAGTGCCTGGCACATAGTAGGGGCTTAATAAATGTTTATTATCTATCTGTCATACCTCTGAAATCATACCAGGTCTTCTGGTGATGTCATCATTATTCTCCACTGGGCCTGTTCCTTTTTGGGAACAATGTTGCTGCTACCTGCTGGGTGTCTCTAGGCCCCACTGCGAAGCATGTCCCATCTCTACTGTTCTCTGATACGCTCTCTTGCTGGCTCTCTCTCTCTCTCTCTCTCTCTCTCTCCTACAAATCTGAAAATGAGACTGTACCTGCTCTCAAGGAGTTTACCTCACCGGGAAACTAGAGGCATTGTACCTGTTCACAGTATATATGCAAAGTAAATGTATGGTGATTTTTTTTTTTAACGCTTATATCCTAGAGGAAAATTTAAGCTCTTTTAGAAAGCTGGGTACTCATACACTCAATTACAAATAAGCCTTGGTTGTTCAGTTGTGTCTGACTCGTTGTGACCCCATTTGGGGTTTTCTTGGCAAAAATACTGGAGTGGTTTGTGCCGATTCCTTCTCCATTTCTTTTTACAAATGAAGAAACCAAGTCAAAGACAGTTAAGTGATTTGCCCAGGATGACACTGTTAGTAAAGCATCTGAGGCTGGATTTGAATTCAGATCTTCCAGACTTCAGGCCAGACATTCTATCTACTGTGCTACTTTTAGCTATTGAAAAGTAACTTTCCATATAGAGAGAAGAGCTCTTAGCTCCTAAATCTTAGCCTCGAGGGCTAGGCTCTTTTGCAACACAGGCTGGCTAGCCAGCCTATAGAGATCAAAAGCATTTAATCTCACTTTCAAAACTCATTTCCTCTTGCTAGTAGGTTCAAAGTCTTTTCTCCAAGTTCCTAACTGACTTAGGGTTAGAAAAGGTTAGGGGGTGGAGCTAGGGTTAAAAAGTCCTTTTAACTACTGCTTAAATTCTTATGGAGATTCTGTGCTCTCCCAAAATCTTTTTCAAGTGGTTTTACCAAAGAAACCCCACTGGAGCTGTGTAGAAACTAGAGGAGAAAGCTCACGTTGCTCTCAGGATCTCCGCAGGATTGGAATGCAAATGAATCTGAGCTGTCAGTAAGTCGATCAATAAGCAGTACGTGGATCAGTCAATAAACACTTATTAAGCACCTACTATGTTCCAGTCACTGTGGTGAGCACTGAGGGGTACAAAGAAAGGTAAAAGACAAGTCGGTTCCTCAAGGAGCTCATAATCTTATTGCAGAGACAAAATGCAAGCAACTATGTACAAACAAGCTACATGTAGGATAAATTAGAAATAATCAACACAGGGAAGATGCTAGAATTAAGGGGTTGGAAAGGCTTCCTGTAGAAGGTGGGATTTTATTTTTTTTTTCTTTAGAAGGTGGGATTTTAGCTGAGACTTGAAGGAAGAGATGAGGAGGGAGAACATTCCAGGCATGGGGGACAGCCAAAGAAAATAATGGAGCCGAGAGATGGAGTGTCTCCACAAGGATGGGGGAAAAGAGCAAGGTCTTTGTCCTCCACCTTCCTGTCCCACATTCCATAGCAAAAACAACCCTGGCTTTTGTGCTGTATTCGGAGCAATACAAATCCCTGCTGTCTCCCCACATTCCCGGTTATTGATATATCCAAACTGCTCTAATTGTCCCTGGGACACTGTGCTTGCCCCACCACTCCCTGGTCAGGCATTTCCTGCCCCTCCAAATATATCCAAACCTTTTCCTCCCTTCCTCACCCCCTCCTTCAGCCACTCTGAGTTCCTGGGTTGAGTGTAAATGAGGTTCTACTCCTTTGCTGCCCTTACAAGCCCTTATGAGCATCTCATGTAAGAAAACCTAGAACTGAATGGAAACTTTTTCCCCCATCCCCTTCAATGCCCTCCCTATTGTCCTGGACAATGTTTCAGTCTGTCTCCTCTTGTCATCTAAGGACACAAGCCTTCCCGAGGTCCCTCCCCATTGCTGCTCAAACCTGAGATTCTCCAAACATTAGACGATGATTGGTCTTGCCACGTGTCTAGCTGCATCAGAGTGGCCTTGGAAGTTTCCCCAGAGCAGAGCCACCAGAGAAGAAGAAGACATAATTTGGGTTTAGGAGCAGGTACATGTATCCTCCTTAAAAAGAAGTCAGCCAAAAGCCACAGTGTTAAAAGAGAGACTAACCTGTAAGAACAGGCTTTCCCTGAAGCAATCTGGGACGACCTTTTGATGTAAACTAGGCCATGATGTAACTAGAACTGAAAGGGCAAATCTCCTTTGTAAAAGGAGAGTTAAGAGAATCATTCTGTACTCTTGGGCAGTGCTAAGTAAGGGAGAGACCAGCCAAGAGGAACCCTTGGCTGGCTTGGGCAGACCCAGCATTCCCAGTGTGATGGGAACCTTTCAGGTTCTGCTCCTTTAACTCACCAGTCAATCAATCACACAGATTTACCAAGTGCCTACTCTGTGTAAAGCTATG